TTCCCTTTCCTTTCCTTTCCTTTCCTTCCCTTTTCTTTCCTTCCCTTTCCTTCCCTTCCCTTCCTGTTCCTCCCCATACAAACTTTCTAATCCAACTTCAAATTTCAAATCTTCGTCAACTGCTCACGACACACACATTCCATTCCTCCAGACTTCAAAAGGTTAAACGACCAGTGAGGGATCTCCCACCAGGAGACTACAACCACAACGATTTCACTAGGAATTTTATGAGCTAATAAGTAGCGACTTGTTTGTTTTCATGCCGTATCATCTATATCATTTCCGTGTGTCGGTTCCAACATCGCATTTCTGTGGTGTATATATTTGCCTTTTGTTTAGTGGGGTAGGGTGGGTCACTTTTTGTCGCTATTCCGGAATTGCTTTGTGTGGGTATATGTATTTTTAGCCAAATTATGTGACGGGATTTTACCTAATTAACCTTTTTTTTTTTTTTTTTTTTTTTTTTTTTAATAAATTTTTTTTTTTTTTTTTTTTTTAGCTAATAAACTTACAATTTAAATTTGAACCAAAGGGGGTAAAGAAGTAAATTGAACGTAGAGTTTCTTTTAGCAGTGCTTGCCGTGTTCTAAGGGTCATTGGTGTGTACTTGACCTCATCCCCCCCCCATCTCTGTCAGGGTAAACACGTATACGTTTGAGATAGAGAGTTGTAAACATCGCAAGAGAATATGAAGACCTTCAGAAACATCACTACGTAATGATATTACAAAAATGCATTTTTTTCCTTYGTGGTTTTTTTAAATTCATCAAATTCCTTGTCTTGTACAATAGGCAACAGCTGAAACTTCCCTGCAGCTCCAAATTTTTTACACACAAAAAAAAAATGGCCGAAAGAGATTATAATCTTCGTTCATTGATCCTCCTCGRATCCAACAAAACTTAATTCCAATTTCAACCGCCCAGAAGACAGCCGTTCCTTGACTCAAATAATCTTCGTGTACAACAAGGATTTCATGGGGTTAACCAAATAAATATCAAACCTGCAGGACCCTGTTTTCAGTGGATAGATTCCTGTGTACCCGCAAATGTTTTACTGGAATTCTCTACTTAATAATAGACCGATCCTGGCTATGCTTGAGTGCCCACCCAAACAAAAGGTATTTTTTCCAATGCAACACAGAATGTCCAACCAACAAACTCGAATTCATAAGATTTTTTAGTAGTTAGTGATTATTTTCTTAATGTATCTCGGCTTTAGAAAGCATTGATTCTAAAGGCCGGTTTAGACGGTACGATTTTAGCCTACATCTATCGTATACAACACACTCGTGTCTGTCGTAGGCGAGTTGTAGGCTTGATTTACACGCTACGACTCAAGTTGTAGGATGGCGCGAGCGTGTTGTATACGATAGTTGTAGGCTAAAATCGTACCGTCTAAACCGACCTTAAGACAGACATTTACAAATTTAGCAATCGGTGTCAGATCCATACTGTATATCTGTATTTTGTGTCCTCAATTAGCTTTATAGCTAAATATTTTGACTGTTAATTAAATTTATTATTATTATCATTATCATTATCATTATTATAATTATCATTATTATTATTATTATCATTATTGTTTATATCAAAACACATTTTAGCTTTCCCGACGTAGCAACAGTAACTAGGAAGGTAGAACAATGAATAGGGGATCGATGTTTTTCTGCCACATCCATCCACTCTTTTTTCAACAACGGAATGTGGGTGGCTGAAACTTCACCGCCGCGTGGTTATGGGATTAATTGAGGGTCAACAGACATAAACAAAAAGTATTTTTAAAAATCAAATTAACCTTGAAAGCATTTGGTAAAACGAAGTACCAATTTAGATAACTGATATCAGTTGGTTTCAGTAGCTCTATTGCTTTGTTTAGTCTAGAGATGGTAATCATTCTCTGATAACCGGCGCCCTAGACGATAGCGGGGAATGAAAGAGGATAGGAAATGTTGTTGTTGCTATCGGCATTGGTGTGTAGCCATTATTGGAGTTGTCTTTTGGCGGTATTTTCGATGACAGGTTCAATGCTTTTGCAGACTGTATTAGTATCATCATTTTCATCATCATTACCATCGACTTTATCAACGCGCAGTCATCGTCATCTTCATCTTTCTTATCGTCATTACCGCCACCACCATCGTCATTGCTACCATCATCGTCGTCATCATCACCGGCCATCATCAGCAAAAAGAAAAAAAATGGGGGACATATAAAAGAACCTGTTGAATTGTTCATATAAGAGCAGGGTCTCCCGGTTCAATAGCCTATACCAATTTGGAGGCATAATACTAATCTACTAACGATTCACACTCATGATTGTAAGCTGCATGGCTGCTAATAGCGCCTTAATATGCAGCCCGTAAAGTCCTCCACTGCTCATAAATGTAAAGCGCATTGAGATATTTGAAATGGGCTATATAAGAAACTCCCATTATTATTATTATTATTATTATCATYATTATTATTATTATTAGCATGATCATTCCCATCATGATCAATATCAGCATCATTATCAACATTGTCATTATCATCATTGGCGTATAACAATCTATTCTGTATTAGCATACTTCTCAATCCCAAACAGCTTGGTCTATACCAATTCCCACAAGAGGAACCATCATAATAGATTACGCTATCCTCTTTATGCTCCAACATTTCCTCTAGTATCTCTGTTTAACCGGTTGTCGGTTGAAATCTAACCCATCACCACAACACAACAAACAGTATATCCATAACCATTACCGCTATCGAGCTATGTTTTTGGATTCTTTCAAACCTTTTAGCAAGGCTTGTGATGACTCCTCGATGCGCGAGGAGGACCACGACACATCCTCACCGACAACGCGTGGGTGGAATATGGATAAAACCGTGCGTATCGTCACGTATATTTACAAAAGGAAAGAGTATCCAAATGGGAGCTTAACTGACGGATGTTAGCGGTGTGCTAAAGAAAGAAGAGAAAACAGAAAAAGACTTTCTGGTTGGAGAAATTTCCTGGGGCTTTGATTCCGCGGCATTCAGACAAACTTAACTCCGCTTAGCCAAAGCTTGGAAACAAGAAGATTTGCTAAATACTCTGCGCTTTAAGTCTGATGATTYCAGATTTTTTTTCAATCGAAATATATTTGAGTAGCAATCATATTAGTACATCTTTTATAGCATTATCAGTAAACAAAGAAATGATACAAAAGAGAATGACAAATGTTTTTTTTCTGTATGATAGTCTGAGAAATAAGATTCTTTGAGTAACATACCACCAATTCAATTCAATTTAATTTCAATTTATTAACACTGTTTTTTCAATTTTACATAGTAGGATTACAAGAATATATATAACTTGAATAATATTTAGAAATTTTAATATAATTAACAATATAATAGGTGTAAGTGTACGACAGCCAAAGGAGCTAAAGCTTTCTCTTTGGCTGTCGTAATTTTCATTTAGGGTCAAAATCACCAATACGAAGGGATCTTATCTGGCAATATTCGCTGATAGACTGATATTATTCTCATGAGCATCATCAGTAAACAAAGGAATGATACTAAAGAGAATGACGAATGGTTTCTTTGTCTTAGAAATAAGATTCTTTGAGTAACATACACCCGTCGAAGGAAACTTATCTTGCATCTGAAGTCAGGTTCTTTGGTCTACAGCGCCTGGGGCAAATGGATGCGGTAGTACAAAGCCTTAGGCTAGGATTAATAAAAAAATATTTGGACCTTGTGATCAGAGCACAAGAATTAATAGGCCAGGAATCTAGGAAAGAGCTTATAAGTGAGATTGATCATGAGTCAATCCATTCTGGTTACGTCAGAGCCAGCCAGTTGAAACTATTGCTTACTATGAATCACGTGACTTTTTTGAGTTTGCTGGGGGGCAAACAAGCGGTTGACCGAGGGGCAACTAGCGGATGCTAAGTCAAAACATGTCGAAATAAGTCGTCAAACTATTGTATTTGACTATTTTCACGACATCAAACCAGAAAACAAGAGATATCAAAACAACCTCCAGGATTCTACAAGCCATCAAAAAAGAGCTATTACCGGAAGTGACGTCTATTGATAGCAAACTATTCGTGCTATCTAATCCCCAGTTTCGTTAATTTGATGGTTAGGCTGCGTTCATAATGTATGGCAGAGGGGGGGGGGGCAGGTGAAAATTTGAAATGTCCAGAATAATTCTTAACACCCCCCTTAAAGTCATGCAAAAAAATACGATCCCCCCTAAGCAAGACTTGTAGCTTCTTCCAACAATCGTGCATCCACCCCATTTTTCTGATAAAAATTTGCCCATCCCCCCTTTTTCCTATCCCCCCTCAATTTTACCTGTTCCCCCTTCTACCATACATTGTGAACGCAGCCTTATTACACTAATATAGGATTAGCCTATAGAGTTAATTTCAACTATTAACTTCTATTAACGCATAACAATGTGTTATAGTACACTCAACAAAATTACTCGATTCTGATTGGTCGAGAGGAGTATAATTATAGCGTTAATTGTACTCSGTAATAGTACCGAATTAAGTCGCTATGGAAACACGGCCAAAACAATGTCAACAGCGGAAAAAGAAAAAAAGCCGTAAAAACTAATAAGAACTAATCTTTTTTATGCATTTCAGTTGCGCGATGGACTGAAGATCGGACACCAAATAGACAAAGATGAACGGCGTCGCTTCGCATTTTTTACTGAAATTTTGTTGAGTGAACTATAATTTCCTATACTAATAGCGCGGTTATTAGAGAGACAATTAAAGTATTCATGCAGTGAAAGTTTATTGGCTGTGTTCCATTACTTCATTGTTTAAAGTCTAATGAGTAATAACTCAACTAGTTTGTGTTAATGATTATTAAAAGGTCCTAAAATTAGTAATTAACAGTTGACTGATATTTCATTATTTGGTTAATGATAGAGTGGTTTTCATAAACTCGCAAAACAGATATCACTAGTTAGTGTGTAATAGTGAAAATAACAACAAAAGAACGCAATGGAATTAGGGTCTGCTCATTTGTATTAGGCTGGTGTGTAACGGGTTTATGAAAACCACTCTAGGAATAAGAATAGACATGAATTGGATTTAAGAGCTTTGACTGCATGCAAAACACAGTTGTCAGAGAAGTCCATTGTCTTCCATATCGATTTTTCCAAGTCCACGCGGACCAAGATTGAAAAACATTAAATTAAATTCCATCATGAGTGATGTAACATTTCCGGCTCGATAAATTATAGATAGCCGTGTATCAGTAACATCTCGATAACTTTAGTGATTTTTGCGAGTTTGGCGTCCGTACAAATAACAATGGCTCCAGCGCTACTTGTATGTTGATGGTTTTATCTCGTTTTAGAACTCCTAAATTCGTTATCAGCGGGATTCCAAGGCAAACGAATAAAATCACGCCCGGTGCAATCACTTACGGCTGACACACCGATCCCCTATTCATTGTTCTACCTAGCTCCCTAGTTACTGTTGCTACGACGGACAAGTTAAGATGTGTTTTTATATACATCATGGAACACATACCGATTGCTGGAAATTGTAAATGTCTTAGAATCAATGCTTTCTAAAGGTACATTAAGAAAAAAATTGATAGCTACTAAAAAATCTCATCAATTCGAGTTTGTTGGTAGGATATTCTGCGTGCCATTGGGAAAACTTCCCATCCGTTAGGTGCAAACTCAAGAATAGCCAGATCGGTCTAATACAGCGGAGGGATTTTCACGTTGACTGTGYCGTTGCATTGAAATTTTTGGTGCTTGATCAGTTATCGTCTCGCAAGCCGAAAAAAGAAGCTGTTATCTTATGAAAACATACATTCTTTTCCAGTGGTCCCCAGTCTGCCCGAGATATCGATAAACCTAATCGACTTGTGCTAATTAAATCACTTTTTTGAACAAAAAAAGATAAGACAACCGTTTAAACGGTGTGAAAACATTTTGTTATTGATATCATCAAATTGGCTCTGAAGTAATCTAGTGATTGACGATCAGCATTATGGTACCCAGCAGGGAGCCCGGGGAGAGCAACTTTTTAAAAAACTCAAAAAGCGACCTTTCCGAAGAAAACTGGTACCGAGTAGGGCGCGCTCTGAATCATGGGTCGGTTTTTGGGGACACCCGACCATGTGGAAAGCTAGCTTGGCAAACTCTCATGAAAAAGCCGGACCTAAAACCAAAGATATGATCAATCAATACACCCAGTATATCGCTTACAAAGCGCGACAATTCTTTAACAGTCAAACCAGCTCATGCGTTCCCATCGAGGTTCAAACATTCAGCTTGTTATTCGAAGTTTGATTTCCATCTTGTTTTAAAAATTGCATTAATGAAACGAATGTTGTAAGTTTAAAATCTGGGATTGGATTAAGAGTTTATTTAGTTCTTCACAGATTCGTGCAAAGCCAAAAAGATATCCACAGTTGTGGCTACCCTTTTAAAGTAATTTATTTGGTGTGATTTTTTGTTCGAAAAATCCTTTCACAAATGAACATTCTGCTGTTTTGAGGTAAAGGCCGGGATTGAAATTTATAACGTTCGTTTCATTAATGCAAGCTCCAAAGCGAGATGGGAATCAAACTTTCAAAATTAAAATAAATCTTTGAACGTCGATAGGAACGCATGAGCTGGTTTGACAGTATGTACGTGATTATGTCATATTAAAAATATTGCCTGACCTCTTCACTCTAATAATATATAACTGGTAATGATGATCAAATTTAGAAAAACCTATTTCTCGCACCAGTAACGCCATTCCATGCTATATTTAATACCCACTGACGCATATAGTATTTTTAACGCATGGTCACCGTTATATATACACGAACACAACAGCAACGCTGTAATTTATTATCGTATTTAAATAAAAGCCATTAATAATTATTATTATTACTATTACTATTACTAGAGTGCAAACAATTAATCCGTGAAACACTAATTACTAAATAGTACAAAATAG